AGCCTGTTCTAGTACACCCCCAAAACAAAATCAAGACTTTGTAAAAGAGCATAATAGGACCCCTTTAAGTAACAGTCTCACGTGCGCACAGCATGCAGAGTAGTTACGTTTTGAGTGAAAGCAGGGCGGAAAAGCTGGGAGGTTTTAAAAGAGTGCTAAGGGAATTATACAATTGAATATATGAAGGAATTAATTGAATGAACCTCTGAAGGTTCTGACTGTCTTCAGAAACGATTCGATGGCATTTTGTTTTCATCTTCAGGTTCTTACTGTCTTCAGAAACGATTCGATGGCATTTTGTTTTCATCTTCACACCATGTAATACCTAAAGCAGTGTTTCTCAACCCTGGTCCTGGGCGCCCCCCAATACTGCACATTTTGTGTGTCTCCCTAATCAGACACCATTTAGGGGACGTCCTGGGGACCTTTTTTTGTTAGCTGGGTATAATCGTGATAAGAAATTTTCATACCGTTACATCCCTAGACCCGAATATGTAATAATGATTGGCGAAACATTCATGCATTTAAGGGTTAAACCTAATTATATTTTATAGAGGTCAAAAGTATTAAAAATTAATTAATGAAATCTATAAATCATTAGTGTTGTGCTCCAAAGCGTGCAGCACTATTGCTATTGCACATACTTAGTTATGGACAAATAATCATTTAAAATAAAAATGAAGAAAAAATTTAACTATGACACCTGCCATGATACCTCAAATCATCCAGCTTGTCAAAGAGAGATGTACTATTAAATTTGGAATCGCTAAAACTAAATATTCAATATGTTTACACTGAAGGGACCTGAGCCATATCTAATACATACCTTGATAGCATCACGGAGACGTCTGCATTTACAGTTTGCTCATCTGCAATACGTCTATAGGACGTTCCCTATCAGATGTCAAATAGACGTTTATTAGATGTCTTTAAGATGTTTATGATTTAGATTGTATGTTGACATCTTAAAGACGTTTGTACACAACTTTCCAGATCAAGCGATCTTTAACAGACATCTTACAGAGGTACGTGTGCTATATCATGTTTGCTGTGTTTTGATTGTCACTGCAGGTGTCAGTTCATTTGGAAACAGGTAACGTTTCTTAGACACGTGCACAAAAAAAAACACCAGGGGGCGGCAAATAGTGACGTTATTACTGCATTCTCGCTGCACCAGCAGCAGAGGGCGCAGCTGCATCTACAGATTGTAGATGCATCTACAACTGCATCTTCATATGAGATGTGATATTAGCAGTAAGGCGGGAATGTGGTTTATTCGCAATGGGAAATGTTTTCGGCAGACAGGGTCGAGTCACCAGTCGAGTGACAGATCAGGACAGGGTGATATTGGTAAGAAGACTCAATTTATCAATCAGTGAGCATCTCTGTCTCTCTCTCTCTCTATCTCTCTCTCTCTCTCTCTCTCTCTCTCTCTCTCTCTCTCTCTCTCTCTCTCTCACACA